CCCCCCCCCCTGCGTGTGCCAAGGCCAGCCAGAGCAATCTTGAATTCCAGACCCCCGATTGAAACTCTATCTAGGCATCCTTAGAACCCTGCAGGGAAGCGACACAACCTATTTCAAAGGGTAGTATGTATTTCTGTTCCGGCATGGGGGAAGAGAGTTGGGTGGCTTGGGCTTCTTGTCTGAGCCATCCTGATCCCCAAAAGCTCAGCCGCGTTTGGTAGAATTCTGGTCCAAATTGTTTGGAAAGTAGTGGGACCGGAACCTCGGAGTGGGGCGCCGAAAGCCGCAAGCAGGTGCAGCGTGTGGGGTTTTGTAAGCCCAGGTTGCGCGAGTGGACGCGATAGCGAAGTTCAGCAAAGCCACGGGTAGCAGCCAAGACCTGGTCGTACGCCTGCATGAGCTTGGGGCAATCGGAGCCGTGCACAGCCAAATACCTTGCAGAGCAAACCCACGTCCTAAAACCCTGAATGAGCAAGTTCTTACATGAGAGGGTGAGTCTGGGGTTTAATATATGATTCGCGTCTTCGGGCTTACGAAAGCTTTGCATTCAAGCTTGGTGTTTACCTGTAGCGTTCGGCGATTAGGGTTGACGGCCTAACTGCGTAACTACGCAGGTGTTGGGATGAGGGCTGACAACTTCAGTTTTGAAATGCTCAGGAGGCTACGGCCGTATGGTCGCAGATATATTATTATGTTGTGAAATGCCCCGGCCCTCGTAAGTTCCTGAAGGCTCCGAGAATTCGGGTCCAGGGCATCTTCTTCGAAGCTACATAGTCTACGTATTGTTGCATCCCTACAAGGTGAATGCCTACAGTGAGTTTATCGTTGAAGCCAGCACCATGTTGCATTTTTGAAGTTGGGATAGGTGGGCCTGGATCCAGAATATAGTGAACAGGGCTTAGGGTTCAGCGTCTGAAGCAACAAGACCGATAGATGCCACGCAGGATCTCAAGTTGGAAGCCGTCAAACAGAGACCCAGTCTTTACCCAAAAACTGCCAGGCACCATGCCGCCCCCTAAACCGTGGGATTTAGGGCCAGGACAACATGCGGCGTTCAAAGCTTAATCATGTTTCGCTATTTTAAGGTTTCCAGCTTGGGGTTCAGCTTATGTTCCAGCAAAACGGATTCAGCGCGACACTACATCATTGCTTTTCGCGTGTACCGCTTCAATATGACTCCTCCAAGTACAGCAGAGATACTTCGCCCAAACCATCAGGGTTTGATTGCATTCCTGCTCGAAGTCTGGATGGGCAGGTAGAAACGTACGCGCAGGTTAATGCATAAGCCCGAAACCCCAGTGCGGTCGTCATGGAAAACCATTGAAATCTGTTATATCTGAAAAGTGAAAAAAAACGACTTGATCCCAAAATCCGTGGTGGCGTTCTGCACGAGGTTTTGTGCGGAGTTAAACCAACGATTTCTACGACAACTTTACTGGGGCCAGCTACTGGATGGGTTATTGCGGTTGAGCTCAAGAAGTCACGGAACCCGGATGTGCAGGGAAGTTGGACCGCTGAGGCCAAGATGGACAAGCTTGTTGAAGGGAGTTTACGACAGTTGGGCTGAGGGGTAAAGGCTTGGGGTTTCAGCTGTTGGCTCTTGCGTGATCGGTTCTTGCAGCAGATTGCAGCACGGCAGGATCAAGCTTTGCGCATGTAACACGAAAAACTACTGCAAAGTGAAACGACCGCATCTTACCAGTAACATACAGGGCTGAACTTGCCCGCGCGTCTCAACACCGCGGGAGTATCCCACCATTTGTTGAGTCACAAATGCCATGTCTTAGATCCCGCGCGGCATAAACAACCTTTATAATTAATCCCAAGCCCGAAAGCGTACGCCTCAGGCGACAGTGTGAATCTGAAGCCCGAAACATTGGGCCCTCACCTGACAGCACTAACTGGAGCTCACATTCGCTTTCTCGCGGCATCTCCTTGCGGCCAAACCAAGTGGATTGTCGCGGCGTCTTAAAATAGTATCGCACCTGCAGGGGCCGTATGCGGTGAGTTCGAGGAGCTCCCCGGGTTGAGAACTCACGCGGCTTAGAGCTTGGTGAAGTTAGGGCTTACCAGGTTCGGCTTTAAGGTGTTGCGGTTTCAACCAGGTTGTAAGTGTAGGCTCGCGCGCGTCAGAGCTAGCTTGCACTCGGACTTATGCTTTGTACATTCTAGATGACCCATTCCAAATAAAAATGCTAATGGAGTTGAGCCCTGAAGCCGAAACTACACATTGACTCATACTGCATGAGTTCCATGAGCTTGTACTCTCACTGCAACATCAGTTTCAGAAAAAAATCAACTTTGCCGACGCAGCCCAAATGTAGACGTCCAAATAATTTACATGTTGGCTCTATGCAATCCAAACGTGAACACCCACCAGTAACTGTATATCAGCCGGAAACTCTGCAAATCCCTCGGAACTGCCCTGAAGCCTTGGCTTCGAAATCACATTCCTACTTCAGCCACAGCAACCCTGGACGGAAAACGAAGCAGGCGGATTGCTGTTGAGACTCCAAACGCCCTCATGGAGAAAGTGTCCAAGTTTCAGAAGCGATTGCTTGACCCATGAACTCTGTAAGCCCTACAAACCCTATACACCAACCCCAAGCTTTTGGGCATTCTAGGCACGCCAAGCTTGCCACGCTGTAGCTCTTGAGCGGTCGTGTTGGCCCAGCGCAGCATATTGATGTCTGCGTTGGCATCGATGAGTGTCGTCACAGCATCGGGTCTTTCGGCTGCGTACTTGCAAAGTACTGGCAGCTTGTTCAACCAGATCTTCACAACATCACGCTGCAGCGCAGGTCCTTCTGGATGCCACTTCAAGTTGCATGACCCATCGGCAGGAATCCGGGCGACAACATCATCGTACTCCAGGTCCGTCACCATCATACCTTATAGGGTCTAACTGCTGAAGTTGTTCATATACCTACCCGTAAAAAATGACCTTGTCTTACGTAGATTTGGGCATGTAACCAACATAGCACACTTTACAGACACTAACTGAAAATGGGGAGGTGGTGAGTGCTTCAGCGGTAAGAAGTCTAGTTGAGCACCAAAACCAATAAACACTCGTGGCAACCCTTTACTGACATGTTCTAACTCGCCATGACTCCACAAAAAGCCAGGGGTCAAAACAATAATAGTTGAAGTGGTGCTACTAAACGACCAGATTCCTAGTCCAAACAGACTCCAGACAGTGTCGGCGAGCAGTTCCAAATGGGGGAACCGAACCCAAGACGTCAAATATTATAAATTCAGCTACGTCACTCTGCCCGTGTGTGAACTTTCCGCAGGATGAAGCCATCGAGCCGATGGAATCGACGTCCCCGACGAGGCCGACATTGTGCATATCGGTGGAGGATACAAAGCTGCAGATCTGGCCCAGGCTGCTTTTGTAGCTCTCAAGGGAATGCCTGCCGGTTTGGAAGGACTGCCGTTTTGATTGCAGTAATTCGGGGCGCAATTGCAATGCTATGGTCGCTATTTGATGATCATCGTGCAGACTATAGCACAACGCTAAATATGATTTTTGATGCAGTGCCGTGCAAAAGTTGCAGGCTGGATTTCGCGCACAAAACAAAACATGCGGCAGCAACGCACTCCAGAACCCAAATTCAGAAACACTCCCGGGTACCCGAACCGGGACCCTAGACCCTGAACCCTCAGACCAAAACACCGATTTCGTGCTTATCCCTGTGCAAGCACAGCCACTTCTTGTTCTCCGCCAGCGGAACGTAGAAGAGGAAATGCTGAGGCACGGTGGAGTCCCTGGTCGAGGATTCATGCGGATCCATACCATAGGGGATGAACGTTCAAGCTGTGTTGAGTTAGCTTACAAAGTTCGGGGTTTGCGTGAATGCTCTTTCTGGTAGGACGTAGTACAGGTCATAAAATGGAGTTTCTTAACCGCTAAGCCGGTTTCCCGGATTTCTACTACTACTACTACTACTACTACTACTACGACGACGACGACGACGACGACCACTACCACTACCACTACCACTACCACTACCACTACCACTACCACTACCACTACCACTACCACTACCACTACCACTACCACTACCACCACCACTTCTGCGCACATGACCACAACTAGAATCACAATCATAAACCGTTCACTATAACCGCACTTTCCATGGTAATGACAGTTGTACCCAACACCAAACCCTGCAGTCTACAATCTAGATCCTTCGCCTTACACTGCTTAGTTGATTCCCAGGCCCTTAAAGTCTGCATGTCGTAACTGTCCTGTAACTCCAATCTTCGGCCCTAGGTGCAGGGTCGCGACGGTCAGGCCGGCCAGAAGATCGGCTCTCAGTCTAAGCGTCTCCAGCTGACCAGTGCTCGCAAACCCTGCACATGGAGGTTGAGCGCGCATAGCACTTTTGTACGTTTGTTCGCGGCTTAGGCCGCAGTCAGTCTGTGGGTTTTGGGCTTGATGATCTCTGCTAGCGCTTTAGGACTTTAGGGTACAGTCCGTGGTTTCTCCAGTTCACAGGCCAACCAAATCCAACGTTCTGCATTGAGGAGGGACATATACATTCTACAAGTGCTAACATCAGAAACTCGACCAGAGTGCTCCTCGGGTTCAGGGATCGCGGAAACAAGGCTCGGTGGTTCGCCCAATTTAGAAGCTTCAAAAAACCTCCTTCAAACCCGAAACCCTAATCATTCTAATGCTGTTGTTGGGCTTCCTCTGAGACGGATCGCTGCTCGCGCATTCTACATCGAAAGGAGAAGCCTTAGCAGTTTGAAGCTCTCCCCGTAGATGAATAGGTCAGCACCGAGTCGCTCGTCGCTGTTTCAGATTGCAGTAGCGAAGCATCATCGCAAGCTCCAGCCGTGCAGAGCTGGGCATCAGACGGACGGAGGCCAAGCAGCAACAACAGAGGAGCAATTGGGGACATGGCTCTGGAGCTTTCCCCGCAGCCCTCAAGGAAGAACTCGTTCGGTCTCGCAGCGACTCTTTGAGCAGGCAGCACGCAGCGCACGCAAGCTCCGCTTACGGGTGTTGGGCTCAAGCCCTATGCGTCACAGAACTCAACCACCCTCATGTGGACCCAACAGCCTAAACCCGAACTCCACCAAGTAAACCCTGTACCCGAATTCCGTTCTTTGTGTGCGCTTTGGTTCCACGTTAAAAGCGATAACACTGGCTACAACCCGGGCCCACCAAAGCTAGATGTTAAGGTTTTCATGTTTATTTTTGTGTGTAGGGCTGAGGAAACTGTAGCTCCCCTTAGGATTACGTGTCGGAATTACAGTATAGAATACAACTTCAACGCTGCGGAATTGTTGGAAACAGTTGGAACAGGGTCTCTACGACCTCAGTCGCAGACTTGTGATGATGGGATGTCAAAGGTCGAAGAAGTATTGCCCGGATGCACATATTTGGGATTCTCAGCCTTACAACAAAGAGCCGGTGGGATCTGCTTTTGTCGCCAGCGTCCATGGAGATGCATCATTCACGGGGAGTGCCCGGGCTGAGCAGCGACTCAAACAACAGGATCGCTTGAAGGGATTGAAGACTTCAAGCTGCTGAGTTGCGGCTGTATGGTTTAAGGATTGCGGTGTGCCAACTCAGAAACCCATCCACCGCCATTCACCCAAAGACCATCCAAATACTCCGTGCATTCCAGGATTCGAAGTTGAGTTCTGTATAACAATTGATCTGGTTTCAGAACACCATGAACACTGGCAACAAGGCTTCGCGAGAAACTATTGTGTGCTCTCGGATTTTGATGCTGTGAACGGCTTCGTCGGCCGAGGGTGCTTGTCGGGCACGGTTTGGGATGTTCGTGCTCCGCCCTGACGTGGAGACGAAGGTTGTCGGACACAGCGCCTTCCTGTTCAAGTTGCTAATTTGGGCATTCGTGCTCTGCACACATCGTGGTTTGCTTGCCTCCTCGGCTGAGAAAGTCCGGTTTGTTCCTGTTTTGTGGCCTATGCTTACAGGTGCATTACTCGCAATGTGGTCGTTCCGCATGGTTTTTACAGGGGCTCGCCGAAGGCTCGACCAACTTTAAAGATAGGTCGGGCTTGAGGCAACATCTTTTGTAGAGTTGATCAACTCGGAGAGCGTTGCGTCGGTGCTCAGCCGGCTGCATGAAAACACAGCCGCCAACGGCAGAGAGGTTGCCCAACGAACGAGTTCAATTCTCAGGCACCCAAGCAAGGATCTTCTGGACCCAGTCACTTTCCTTGCTTGCTGCTATTTTCATTTCAAAACTGCTATACAACTCCGATTCATAAACAGAAATCCTAGAACCGAAGGCCCGAAACCCGGGAAGCCGAGAAAAGGAACACGTGTTCACTGGGCCCAAGATTCTGGCATCTCGCGCCGCAACCCATTTCCCAAGGATCGGTCCTGGCCAAAGACCAGAACAAGGCAAAGAGTTCTCTCCCGCTCGTGTAGGTTGATTTGAAGTCAAGCTTATAGGGTTTAGGATTGTCTGGAGTTTCGAGTTCAACTTTGGCTGTCCTACAGGGCGAGGGTACTCCTTTTTTCCCTCAACCCGGAATCATCCAGGTCCTTGACCCAGACAAAGTTACGACCCATCTCAGGGCACTGGCCATCGGCCATAAACTCGCCGGGGAAGTAGACAGTGCCAGGATTTCCCATGCCGGCCCAGAGGCAAAAGGTGCTGCTTGCCTGAACAAGCTCTGCTGTTGTCACGTCGTTCTTGCTGTTGTTGCCGCTGCCGTTGACGAAAGTGTTGCTAATGTTGGTGTTGCTGGTGTTGTCTATGCTGATGCCGATGTAATTGCAGTGCTAATGGTGGCGGTAGAAGTAGAAGCAGAAGCAGTAGAAGTAGCATAATTATGATTATAAGTTCAGTAGTATTAGTAGTTGTAGTAGTAGTGGTAGTAGTAGTAGTAGTAGTAGTAGTAGTAGTAGTCGTAGTAGAAATAGTAGAAGTAGTAGTAGTAGTAGTAGTAGTAGGAGTAGTAGTAGTAGTAGTAGTAGTAGTAGTGGTGGTAGTAATAGTAGTAAGAACAGTAGGTACAGTAGCAGTAGAGGTAGTGGT